TCTGACCTATATTGTTCAACCCAGCCAACTGACATATGGCACACTTTCCCTCAAAAGTATTTTGGCAATATTCCCTTCAATCATTCAGGCAAAGTAGAATGAAATGCAACTGTTGCACAGCATGTAAATACTCAGAACATATTAAAATGAGTCCTAAACACTGTTTTCATGCATTCTAAGACCTCCATTACACAACCAATTCTCACTCACATCATGGTACACATGAACCTGCCTTATACTGAACCAGGATCACTGGTCCATGAAAGTCAATATTGTCTACTCAGACTGGCAGATCTTCAGGGTCTCAAGCAGAGGTTTTTCACATCGCTTACTGCCTTGGCCTTTTAGCCTGGTACAATTATAGTACAGGGTATAATTCAGGGCCTTTATTAACTAATATTAAGATCCATACCCAATAGAAATATACAGATATTGAAGCTAAAGTAGTAACCACACTGTGCATTGATAAGCACATCTACACCTTTGGAACCAATCAATTACAGGTTTCTCGTTTTTTCTCCAAGGTGCTCAGTGTGGCATACATTGCCCTCCCCTTCTCCATTTACTCTCCCAACAAACGCATGAAGTAGTTTAGCCAGAGCAAATAACTGGCTCAAAGTCACCCAGTGAGTTTCACAACAGTGAAAATTTGAACCCACGTCTGCCAAGTCCTAGTCTGATACACTAACCATTGCACCTCACTGTTCCTTTACATAAGGTTAATTCATTCCATCATAACTACACGAAGAGGTAGTGTTATATTACTCCCATTTTACAGACAGCAACTAAGCAAAACCAGGTACTTTAAGACATACAACTTTGTACCTAAAATTTGAATGTTACCTTCCAAGTCCAAGTCCTGCACTGTAACTGTAAGAGTATATAACATTCCAAACAGATACTCCCAGAGACCAGACACTTGTCTTAAGAACCTTTGATTCTCCTACCTCAAGTAAGTCATCTGCCCAATACATTTGGAGGAAAAATGCCTGAAATGCATAGAAAGAATTAAGGCAGAAAACAGATGCAGGTCTAATTACATTAGGTTTTGTATGGGCTCAGCAATGTCACATCCACAAGACTGGCAGGCAGAAACTTCATCTTCTGCAAAATACTGGGTATTTCCTTGAAGATTATACACAATACACAATCTGTGCTGAAAACCTGTTTTTATAAATCTAGAGCAAAAATCTTAATTGCATTCAGTACATAGCTATATTTACTTTTGAATTAGAAATGTAAGTTTCACTAAAATTAATATACTTGCTTTGCCTTTATAACTGCATGCAGGTTGTAACATGAACCAATTTGGTTTAACAGATGTTAAACACAATTGGTCAAGCTCCATTCCTAGACTTCTTACTTGATTTCATGCAGAGAAAAATGTGGTATATAAGAAATCTGCGGGTTTTGTAACTATCACATGAGAAGGCAAACATTAATTATCACTGCTTTTGTCTGAAGGCTTTGCTTGCTTATCTTTCTGAAGCGAGTAAATGTGATTAGTGACCCAGCCTAACCAGTCTAGGCTACCCATAAAAATTCTATCCACTATGACCTGCAGAATCCTTAGTGACTCAGGCAAAACACTGAAAACCACTGCTCATAAACACATATCTTAGTCCAAAATCTTGTTTTCAGAAAGGCTTCTCCACCGATGCACCAAACAAAATTAAATATATTATTCTTATGCTGTTGTTCCTCAGTCGCACAGTTGAGTCAGACTCTTATATACCACATTCTTATGCTATCATACTATATTTCTTTTGAAAGACACCATGATCAATAAAACCTGAGTTTAAGTTTCTTAAACTGAAAAAGAAATGTCAGCTTTCAGTTTAGTCACAACTTTTAAAGCCTGACTTTTTCTCCCTTCATTTCTTGCTATGCTGAACAATTTCTGAAATCAAATTATGATAATGAGACACAAAACCAACAAGGCAATTAAGTTGCTTATACCAACTTATTTGGTGAAACAGAATGCCACGCTTATGGATTTCAAAGGATTCTTGACGCTGCCAGAAAAAAATATTTCTATTCTTTCCTCTTTTTCATATAACACTAAACTGACTGTTTCAAAATATGTTACCAATATTGGAATCCTTACAATCACAATACTTCATATATTAGTTGACGAGGAAACCTCAATTGCTTCAACACAAAAAGCCATGTTTTTGCATTACTTTTTGCCCTCTTTAAGCATGAACTGTGCAAGGTTCTACATGTAATTTAATCTTTAATATTAATCATTTTACAAAAACATTTCTCTTTACTTATGACTAAGCCTAGCAATCTCAGACACAGTGCACATCCTTGGATCATGCAAAGACTTATGGGTCAAACTAGATGAGAAATCAGATCTCATTTTGTCTTAAAAAATGAATTACAGATGCATGCACCACTGATTCAGCTCAGAATATGGGGAGAGGGGCTTTCTAACCCTTCACTTCAGAATGGTTTTGCCAGCAGAAATAACACCCTCCACCCATGCCATTATTAGCTTTTAAAGGAAATAACACTTCCACAAGTATGAGCCTGCCAGATACAGAGAATGGCTGAGGTTCTGTTACGGGACCCTACTTCATCTGAAATAGGGTAGCAAATACTCACGGAACAGCCTGCATTCTCAGATTCTACCATTAACTGTGATGAGTACTACCTTGGCAGGCCTTCCAACTTATCTATTCTGAAACACTTTTGAAAAATATTATTGCTGGTACACTTACATTTTGAGACAGGGTTTTTTTGTGTTTTTTACAGATTATAGTACACCTTTGTGTTTCTATTGGTGATTAGGATCTTAGATGCCGCAGGGAGAGAGAAGTGGTGTATCAACAGTATAGAGACAAAAATAACATAGGTGAGGCATTTCTCTGAGACGCTTTGGAACACCTTGGCTTTTTAAAGACAGATCTACGATCTCCATCCTGCCCTGTTTGACCTTAAGTTACATTCCAGTTTGGAGACAGTTTGCTTAGTAATAAAAGTAGAGAAATCAGGCAACTTGTCACATGATTTAAAGTTGTCCTATCTGATCTTTGCAGCACCAAACTATTTCAACAATTTCAACCAAAGCTCCAAGCAAGCAATAAGATGCAAAGAATTTACGATAAGGTTTTAGTTAGCATTCATAATATTAACTTAGTGGGGTACTGCCTATTAGTATGAAGCAGCTTCCATCATATCACTGTAATGTTCTATTATTATTTATTACATTTATGAATCACCCCATTCCTACTATTGTAGGGCTCTGGGCAATATACATAATATTAAAAACAATCATCAAGTAAAACAAACATATTAAATTACATTGAAACAGATCACATTCTAGTCATAGGAATCATCTGAAAACTTTATACAAAGTTACTGATAAAAATAACTCCTAAAATTAGTACATTAAAACTCCAATTTATGAAGAGTCATAAGATGGTATCAAAAAAGCACACAGGAGGCATTGGCAAACACTTTGTCAGATGATAAACACTTGAGGAGCCAACATTGCTGATGGAAACACAGGGTTCAGTTTCATGGCCATGAGAGGGCAGAGTTCTAATTAATTAGTTAATGGACTTCATCAGTATCAAGTTAAGATTACAGTTGTAAGCTTCTCCAGTTGTTGCTTATGATAGTACTACACCAGACATACAGTCACTGCCTACCTTAAGGATGAAAAAAACCCTTTTTTAAAAGTTCTTCAGCTTCATTTTTAAGCACTTCAACTTAAGGAGGCGCTCTCTCTTTCCTGGTTCTCCAAACACCAGGAGGAACAGAAGCACAGTGCACTCTAACAACTAACTACCCCTTCCTGTGGCTTTCTCTCATCCTTGATGTCACTATCTCCCACCCCCCACCAAAAGGAAGAACTCGAGTGGCTTCCGGTACTGCAAAGTTTATTTCTCCCTCTCTAGAACCAGCTCGTTTAATCGAAGTCACAAATGCAGTTCCTTCACTCCACCCCCACTAATGCGCACATTACTGGTTTTCATTTCGTTGCCAGCAGATCAAAATGGAACCAGAAAAACAAAAAACCGGAGCATGCTTTCATTCAGTCCCCGCCCCCCGCCCCCCGCCTCCCCGGGAGCAGCAGCAAAACTCCTTGGTAAAAGCAGCTCACACCTATCAAGCGGCCACCGCAACAAAACGCACTATCCAGTTTTCCTCGAGACAGTCTCGCTGTTTTATTCACGCAGCGCCCCCCCCCCCCCCCAAGAGGGAAGGGAAGGAAGCGAAAGCACGCTGGGAAGGAAGAGAAATCTGTTGATCTTTCGGGAGTAGTTGTTTGTTTGTTTCAGGGTAGTTTTTTTCTTTTCTTTTTAAAGACAGGAAGGCGGGGGGGGGGAGAAGAAAAGAGCTCCAACAACAGTATGGCGTGACTTTGCTCCAAGTGCAATAAATCCGCGATGAGTTTAAGGCCAGCTCACGCCGTTGGCCAGCCATACCTGCGGGAAAAGTTACAGAGTTTCTTCCCTTCCCCCAGTCTTCCCCCTCCCCACTACAGGTCTGGGCGAAAGGGAAGGAAAACCAAGGAAAGCGGGGGAAGCTTGTTTTCTTCACCTCCCCAGGAAGCAGCTTCGGCTACAAACTCCACATGACCCCTCCTTTTTCCCCAAGGAAAGGAGAGAGAAGAGGTGAGGTGGTGGGG